GGATATGGATTTAACAAAAGTAGAAACTGTTTCTTTTTTGTGGTGTTTTACAGTTTCAGAGAAGGTTGAAGATCAAGACCTGTTAATTTTTTTCCTAACAACCAATACCAGGACATGTGCTTCAGTGTTGACCATGTAACCTCTGGAGGAAAAAAATGTTCCTTTGGACACAACATGTGGTTCATCAACCAGCACTATTTAGTATCTGATGATCCAGTTCATGCATTCAGTTTTTATCCCCCTTAAAGCAAGAAAGCAACAGAATAGCGTCCTCTTAGTTCATAAAAATATACATGCTCCCCTCAAGTGGGACTTTGCAACATGTTTGTATAAAACAGACTTAACCCTGAAGAGCATTTCACTTTCAGCATTAAGACATGACGTTTTTATTGTTAATGTTAAGGCATTAATGTTGAAGCAAGTCATCCTCACAAGAAATATCACCCGCTGTAAAATCAGTCATTTGATGCACTATGGCTACCTGAACATCATCTGTTTGTAATATCTCTAAAGGAAACCTTAGAAATAGCAATACTCCAACAGAACTTGAACTCTTACTTTTCTTGAGCTGACAGTGGATATATGGTTCTCGCTTCATTTTGTGACCTGATTAAATATGTAGCTTTAAAGTCCCAGCCAGGCTCTAGCCTAGTTGTCCTTTTAAACAAGTTTCATTGATAAAATTGGGTGCTTGTATTTTGGCTACTTGTTTCATAGTGTTAGAGGATTGCAAAGATCACCACTAGGCTTTGAAGCTTTGTATTCACCATTTAAGTTTGGGGTTTGTTTTTCATTTAGTTAATAACAGAGTGAGGGGATGTGCCTATCTGCTCTAGGGTTTCAGATAGCAACCAGAGCGAGTGCTGCTCTCCATCCCCAGTTAGACATAGGTTTAAATGGTGAAACAGCTGTGCTGCTTAGGTGAGCAAAATGGTTAATGTGGGCGTGAAAGTTAAAAGCTTTACATCTTGCAAAAACAAGAACAAATCTAAAAAGGAAAACCCCACCGAGCCCACACCGGATGCTGTTTTTGCTTGTTGTTTCCGATGTGCTGGTTGAACTAATAGCTAGTCTGGATTCCTTTTGCAGACTGAAACTTCTAGAGTATAAAAATAGCCTGGAGGAGACTGAGGGGAGACCTCATTGGGGTTTTCAACATCCTCACGAGAGGAAGTGGATGCGCAGGTACCAATATCTTTGCTCCCACGACCAGTAACAAGACTGGAGGAAACAGCATGAAGCTGAGTCAGGACAGATTTAGGTTGGATATTAGGAGAAAGGATTTTCACCCAGAGGGACCCCAGGGAAGTGGTCACAGCACCAAGCCTGATATTGGATGACACTCTCAGGCGCATGGTGTGACTCCTGGGGCTGTCTTGTGCAGAGCCAGGAGTTAGACTCAATGATCCTGATGGGTCCCTTCCAACACAGCATACTCTATGATTCTGCTTTCCAGTATCTTTGAACTGCCAGTGTTAATGTTTCTAATGTTCTGTGCAGAGTAAAGGTGCTGTGTGAGGAAATAGTTTTGCAGTGGTTTTTGTCTCGTAATGACGTGATCTCATATCCGTTTGTGGCCAGACACGGAGGAATACCCAGGCCTGATAATGCATCTGCGTGTTGTAGACACCTGTGCAGGAGTAGCAGATGTTGTCATAGCTGCTCTTACAGTTCAAAACAAAGTGAGGATCTACCCATCCGGTGACTTAACAAAGTTACCCGTTAAAAACCCGGTCGTGGTGCTTTTGGCAGGCTGTTAACGGTACAGAGGCTGCTGCTTCAGCTGCGGGAGTTAACTACAATGGGACCTTAAAAATGCTCTGACCCCATAACCAGGCAGTTGCTGCCTCCTGAGAAATGAAGTCTTTGACCTCCTGAGAAGAGCAGTCCCCTGATATGGGGATGCTCATTTTGCAGCATTGGATCACTGGTGGGAGGCACAGTAGGAGCTGAGGGTGGAAGAACACTGGGCTAGGCCCTCATAGGCTTGGGAGACCAGGGACAGATCTTGGTCTCTGCTGGCACCAGGAACAATGTGTCTCTCAGGCCTGTTGATTTTTGTCAGTGTCCCTTTGAGGCAGCATTTTGAAACTTCTGTGTAGTTTTGCAACAGAACTTTAATAGGCAAAACAGAAAGAAAAGTCACCACCTAACAAAGGAGGAGGGTTCTGCTCTCCATTGCTGAAACTGTTTCCGTGAGACTGATGACTTAGATACCTGGTGCAGAGTGACACTGCAGTCTGATTGCTGTCAACAAAACTTCTGTTAGGATTAAAAGCAGACAGTACAGTACCTTAATAAGGTATATTTTATTTTTTCATTCTTATTTTTATCTAGCAGTTGTGTTTGATCCCAGCTCCATAGAGACTGTTACAAACCTCTTGTACTAGTTCCACCATGTTGCAGTCACTATTGATTTTCTAACCTCTGTTTCGAGTGTTTGCATGTGATGCAATTGAATCCCACTGCATTATGCAGCAGGAATTTATTTTGCCTGCAAACTTAAACTTTGCTTGTTTGTTATGGGAGTACCCCAAAAGAAAACTCTACACTTAAGCAGAGAGAAAACCCTGCAAAATGTTCTGCACTGTTGGTTGTGGTGGCCAGCAGACACAGAAAAGGGATGTGCTATATGGGAGGGAGTAGCTCCTGGAGAAAGGCACTTTCTTGGCTCTGGAAGCCAGCTGCTCCTACTGTTTGTTCTAGGTTGGAGGCGTCTGCTCCCTGTGAATGTGTGAGGTGCTGAGGTATGCAAACATGTTGTGCCACTGTGTGGCCTGTGTCAGCTACTTAAGACGGTGGCAAATCTCAAAAAAGCCTCCTGCATCCCTGCAATGACAGCAGTGTAATGCACTGCCTGCAATTTCCCTATGGGACTGTTAACAGAAATTGCCCTGAACAGGATTTTTCAAGATGGGTGAAAGGAAGGGTCCAGCCACAAAACAGATTAGTTTGAACATTGCTAGTCATTCTCAGAAGCTGAATGTCAGGAAATATGTGAATTATTTTCAGTGGGATTCTCTGTTTCCATGCTGCTTTGCTGCAGAAAGTCCAGCTCAGAAATCCAAGAGGACACGCATCTAATGCATGCTTCAGTTATGTTAAGCTGAATATTTGTGCAGCAAGGTAAGCTATGCTGCAGCCTGGATAGGGAAGACCTGGGAAAGCACATGCTCAGTTCTTGCCTCATGTAGCAACTGGCTTGTGAACCTCCACAGACTTGAATCCATTGGTGATCAGAGGTGGTGGCTTGGCACAGTCCAGAGCATGTTCTCCTGGTCTTTCCGAGAGTGGCAGGACAGATGTGCAGAGAGGGAGTGGGCAGTGTTCCCACCACTCTAAACACAGAGTAAATGTGAAACCCAGGGGATTAGGGAACACTGTATGTGTGTTAAAATTTCTGAAGCAAGGTGAATGAGCCTGGGAATCTGTAGGGGACATGGGAAGCAGACGCATTTCCATTACACTGACACACATGCCTGTCAAGTCACATTATCTGACTGGTTTTGATGTATCGGTCTTGCTGAACGTGTTGGTGGCAAGTTTTAGTGCTGGTCCCATTAATTACTAATGTAGATTATTAGAATCTCTGTTATTACAAGATAATTTTGACACTTTCTTAACATCTGCAGAACTTGCTTCAGCTTTGGAAATTGAAATGGGGATTTTCTGTGCTGCAGTCCCAAGAGCTTGTGCTTTGTCACTCCTAATTGCTTTCTCTGACAACCCAGATGGCAATGTAGCTGGGGGTTGAATTTCTAGACCTTTTTTGTGTAACTTGTTTTCATAACTAGCCCTGTATTTGTCCTCTCTTGGTTGCCAATTACCTGGAGCTGGGATACCATTTATTTATTTCTTCTTTTACCTTCTCTCTCAAAGTTGAAGACGATGGGCAGTTTCTCAGCCTACCTACATGGTGGACTTTAGGTAACATCTCTGTAACAACTGAGTTTGATCTATAAGTGTGCTTGGCTAAATGTCTGATCTGCAATACTTGTAATAGTTTAAAAGTCAATAAATACATTTTTAACAGTTGCTGTGTGAAAATTGAATGTGTGCACAACCTGCTGCTCTGTCTCAATTTTAGGACAAATTTGCTCCAGCCAAACTGTTGAAAACAGTTTTATTTTTATTTTCTCCAAACAATGTTTTCTCCCTCCCTCAGGCAATAAATAAAAAGTTAATTTCTAGAAAAAAAAAAAAAAAAACCAAACAAAACCATACATATGTACATCAGCCACACAGGCATCTTGTGTGTTGGACTGGACTGGAGGGAAGGACAGAGGTAGGGTGGGAAATAAGGCTCCAGGTGGGTTGAAGATGAGGCATTTTCAAGGCTTGGACCAAAAGCTGCAGAAATGTTGCACAGGTGAACAAGACTCAGCACAGGAAAATGGCTGGTCATGAGGTGGGAGAAGCTTGAAAATGCTGGATGAATGACACCTCTGGGCCAGCCTGTCCTCCACCCCACAGCTTCCCTCCCTATTATAGCCCGCCCATGTCCCATCCTGCTTCTTTTGGAAGAGCAGCAGTAGGACTGGTGGAGAGGAAACTGAACAGAGTAATCAAAAGCAGCCCAGACTGCTGCCCCAATCCCTTATTTCTCATCTTAAAGCCACAGGAGATTGGACCTAAGTTTTCTAGAAACCAGTGATCCACAGAGGCAAGAAAAGAGGCATTTCAAACTACATCTCTCCCTCCAAACCACTTCTCAACCACAGAGATTGCTCTTCCCCTGGAATAGGCTCAGCTGGCGACTTGGCAGGTGCCTCATGTCCCCAGCCACTGGCAGGGCTGAGGTTGAGTGCAGGCAGCCCTGTGCCACCACTCCTGCTCGCCCCAAGGCCCTGCCTGCAGCTCTGCTTGTCCGAAGTGTACCTGGCTCAGGTAAGCAGCACCCACCACACACACACAGGTCTCTCTGCAAGGGGGAAGGCTGCTGCACAATAAAAACAGGGAATGCTCCCTTAACCTAGATGAGCTGGGGCCACAAACATGGGAAAACAAGACAGTAAAATAGGGATGGAAACACGTGAAGACCAGGCACTTGAGGAAACCCAGTATACTATTTTTTTCCTCCCCCAAAGAGCCTGGACAGTGTCAAGGTTTGTGGCTTTTACAACTTCGTGCTCTCAAAACATAACAAAAAGCAAACAAACCAAGATGAGGTAAGAAATTTCTCTACGAAAAAGATGCCGAGTCCAGGGTGAATGGCAGCGTCCGGCACTATTGCTTAACATCACGGGGCTCCGCGCCCCTGCACGCCTGGCACTGCCTGCCCGGCTGGCCTCGGCCCTGAGCTAACAGCTGGGCGACGTGGTGATGGGGCTGTGCAGGTAGGGGAGGCTGCTGGGGGTGGCATGGACACCGACAGACACCGGGAAGCTGAAGACAAACTGCGAGGTGGGGGTGGAGGTGGCCTTGCCCCGCTCCCGCAGCGTCCCCGAGGGGCTGACGGCCTCCACTGCGTATGAAGTGGCCAACACCTGCGACTCGAACTGCAGCAGCTGCCCCATGAAGCTGAAGTTGGGGGAGATGATGCTCCGGCGCTGCTTGACAAACTCGAAGGCCTCCTCTAGCTTGACGCGCTTCTTCATCATCAGGTACGCCAAGCAGATGGTGGCCGAGCGGGAGATGCCAGCCTGGCAGTGCACCAGGACACGGCCACAGCACTCCTTCACTGAGTCTGGAAGGCAACAGGGGTGAGATGTGAGACCCACACCCTGCCACCGGGGCCCAGCCCCTCACCAAACCTGCGGGTGCTGGCTGACCTCCCTCCCAGCGGTGCCACCAACAGACACGTCTCTGCACAGGCACTCACCAATGTACTCGATTGCCTCCATGAACCAGGAGCTGATGTCAGCTTTGTGGTTATCCTCCACGGGGATACACTTGTACTGGTAGTGCCCCTCGAAGTGGTTGGGGCAGTCTGAGGAGACGTTCAGCAGGGCTGTGATGCCCAGCGCGTCGAGCATGTCCCGCCGGGCTGCGTGGTAGGCGCTGCCAAGGTAGAGGAAGGGAAGGATCTCCACAGGCCCACCCTGTGACAGAGGAAAACAACAGGTTGACCAGGGGACAGTGGGAGGCAGGACACACATCCAGATGGCTTGGAAACATGGAGCTGTGCAGCAACCTGGCACCTGATCCAGGGCCCTCTGAAGAGGGAGCAGAGGTTTCCTTCCTGAGGTGCTAAACCTGTGTCAGCCCTTCCTCTCCCTCTCTTTGTCCTGTTCAGAAACAGGCAGGTGTGGGTTAAGAGGATGTGGGCTTGTCCACTCTGTGGGCAAGACACCCTGGGCTTAGGAGGACCGCCATGCTTTCCCATGAGAGGAAAGGAAGCAGGGCTCTGGCTCCACAAGCCCTGCTGAGGGAGAGCAGAGAGACTCCCACTGGAGCAGGCTCCAATGCTGGAAGGGCAGCCAAGATAGCTAAGCACTGGGCTTTTAGACATACCTGGTCGTGGAAGGGGGTCCCACAGGAACTGCAGCCCAGATCCAGGGGCTCAGCGCTGGTGGGGGGTGACACATTGCTCAGGGACTTGGTTTTTGCGCAGAATTCAGGGTACTCCGAGGAGAAGCGCTCATAGCCCCCTGCAAGAAGAGAGGCACGAAGTGTTATCCCAGACCGCATTCACAGGACTGCAGAACGGCGCAGCCGGAGATGCCCTTGGCCACTAGATGATGCTACAGCGATGGAGAGTGGTCTCCTGCCCCAGAAGGAGCAGTCAGGCTCTCGGCAGCAAGGGGGGAATCCCTGAGGCCCCATCATTCCCTTGGAGCAAGAGCACCAAGAGCAATGATCTTGGCCACCCAAAGTCTCTGGTCCATGGATCGGTCCCCTGCATACTGCCAGCCAGAACTCCAGACTGAGGCCAAGGTTGCTCTCTGAGACAATGAAGAGAGGATTTATTTCCAGCATACTCAGACTTAAATGGGAAAAGCTGCTCCGAGGCCAAAGATGGTTCAGTTCTCATCTTCCCTTGACACATCATTTTGTCAAAAAAGACCTGTAGGTCTCCCATTCCCAGCTTGACCCTCCAGCTCAGAGCTCCCAAAATAATAGACCAGGAAAGCCCTGGCTCTGGCCAGGTGCAGCCAAGCTGACTCCACAGCCAAGCTGCCCTCTGAGAGAGGTTCTGCTGCTTCCCAAGGACACAGGTGCAATCTGAACATGGAGCAGCTTGATCCTCTGCCCTGCTGCCAGGGGGATAAGCACAGGGGATGTCAGGGCTTTGTCATGGCAGACAAAACAAGAGCAAACCCCCTGAGTTCCCAGGACAGGGAAACTGCAGTGCTGGCCTGCTGATAAACACTTCTGGTGCGATCTCCTTCTCTCAATCAAATCAAATCAACAACCCTGACATCCTTTTAAGGTCTGGCTTTGAGCCTCGAAATCAATGAAAATCAAGTACTTTACTATCACCACAGGACTCCAGCTAGATCAAGCCCTGACTCCCAGGATGGTTCCTGAAGACTCAAATCAACTGCAGCACCTATGCCTGCAGATTTTGGCTTACATACAGCAGGACACATCCTTCTTATCCAGCCTTAGCTCTGAGACTGCCCTGAACAAGGCTGGATACTCAAAACAATGGATGCAAGCTTCTCAAGCAGCTCAGGAATCCCTGGGCAGCCAGAGCCCCACACTGCCAGCATCCCAGTGTCCTTTGTGGTTTCCTCCCCCTACAAAAGGAAGGGCTCTAGCACCTTAAAGCAGAACCGTGCAGATTTATCACTGCATTTGCATTGTCCCTCCCACGCAGCCAGGACACTTAGCAGAGGCTTCATTTCCCTGGCCTGACGTCCCTTTACAGTCCTACTGCTTCGATTTGAAAGAGCATCCAAAACCAAGAGCCTTTGTTAGACAACTTCCAGGGATCTGGTCCTAAAATCCCTGGATCTATCATATTGCACTGCAGTGGTCATCGCACCATGAGAGGGAAAAGCTGCCCAGGCTGATGGGCAGAAACATTTTGGAAAGAATGATTCTTGGAAAGAGAAAGAGACCTTTGCAAATGTTTCTCTTCAATGAATCTCATCAGATTCATTGATCCAGCAGCTCCTGGCTGCTCACTCCAGCCCTGCCCGGTGCAGGAGCCAGGCAGAGCAGGTGCCCATGGCCAAGCTGCTTCACAGGGAACCTGGCAGAAGCCTGACCAGCACAAAACACTTCAGGATCTTCATCGTGACCTGCACCCAACAAATGTGCACTTGGGCATGCACAGCTCTGGCTTAACGTAGCTCTCCTGGAATCTGAGCAAGATCATTTTAGTGGCTCTGTGGATCTCAAGAAGACTGTAGTGCTGAGACTGAGTCTCTCGGGGTCCATTCCTCAAAAGGGCTCCCATTCCAACCAACCTCCCACGAGAACCACAGAGGCACCCAAAGCTCTCAGCTGACAAAGGGCACCCTTGAAGCAGGGCAGCATTTCCTGCCACACGCGTGGCTCCAGCACCACGCTGGCTCACGGTGAAGGAGCTCTGCTCCTGAGCGAGCCCTTGCTGTGCAGGCACTCCCGCAGCAGCACATCGTATCGCATCCCTGGAACAGCTCCTGCTGCTTTTACTGTATCTAGTACAACTGAAGTGCGAGTTCCTCCATCTATCAAGCCTCTTAATGGATTTGATACTCTGCATACACATCCTCACCCCTGCTGTAAGTAAGCCAAGGAATAAATTGACTCTCAGGCTGTAAACAAAAAAGAAAAAGCCCCACAGAGCTCATCCAGGAACCCCAGCTGAGCATCCCCCGCCCCTAAATCATCTCACGGCAATTCTCAGGACCAGCGGCTCCAAATGCGCACAGCTTCCCATTTAACACACGGCAGCGGGGGGAAGCCCTGATCCCTGCTGTAGTCGCAGAGGGAGCACAGAGGCATCCCCGGCTTTTCAGCCCGCTGCAAGGGGACATCGCGGTGACAGCGGCTACCTGACCCTGCACAAACACCTCCTCGGCACGGCGGGGCTGGACTCAAAGCGTGGGGGGATTCCCCGCACACACTCGCTTCCCTCAGCTCCCGCCCCGTGCCCCTGAGCCGGTTCAGACCGCCCGGGCACCCACGCTCGGGGCCCATGGCCGCGCCGCGACCGTCCCGGGAGCGCAGCCCCTCCCGCCGGCTCCCGAGTTCGGCGGGACGGCCGGAGGCGGGCAAGGCAGCGCCCGGCCCGGGGCGCGGCGAGCCCGGAGCCCCGTTCCCGGGCGGGGGCAGCTGTCCGCGGCCGGCTCCCCCCGCCGTTCGTTCCCGGTGTCCCCCCGGCGGTACCTGCCAGGAGGCGGATGTCGGCGCGCGCCGTGTCGCGACGGAGCGCGCGCACCACGAGCGCCACGGTGCTGTCCTCGCGCAGGGCCTCCGCGCGCGGGCTGCGCTCGTCGTACACCACGACGGCGGCGTAGAGCCCGGCCCGCAGCCGCGCCCGCACCTCGCCCTCGGCCGGCAGGATCTGCTCCAGGCTCACGGCGCCCTTGGCCCGCCGCCGCACGATCGTGTTGCAGCGCACGTTGAGCGCCCCGCGGATGTGCCCGGCGCTGTGCGCCAGGAAGGGGCGGCAGTCCAGCACCAGGCACCGCGCGGCGCCGCCGGCCCCGGCCTCGTCGCGGCCCACGAGCCGGCGCAGCGCGCTGCCCTCCATCTCGCGCAGCCCCTCGGTGGCCACCATGGCGGGGGAG